CCTGCGTCCTCATATGAGGACCGCACAGCTTGGGTTTCCAAAGCTCAGGACTCTAGAGGTTAATCTCCAAGCAAACACTCAATTACCGCCGGTTCGTTGGTGTTACAGACCACGAAATTGTTTCTACTACGAACACTGTTTGTCCGCAAGTAAGACTTTCGCTGCATAGTTTCTCTGAGGTTTCCCTGCTGCGTGGCTTACCAGTCTGTTACAACGTTTCGTGCAGTGCGTTCCTGCACTTGCTTCTGCTTCCCTCGCCGGCACCATTAAGTCTGGGCCAGTCTCTCTGCAGCAGTCCTCCCTACTGGCCTCTGCTCTCCGTTCCATTCAGCTCCCCTCTCCGGGACCACGCCACCTGGGCCGGCCTCCCTACACTTACTCACCGCTGCAGCACTCCACGCCTGGGCCAGCGCTCCCTCCAGTCGAACCAACGCCAACTCTATTTTCAGTACTATCCACAAGCCCGGCGCCTGTTTTGGGGATTTAAATCGACGGCGACTCCCCGAAATAAAATGTGTATATCTCCGCAACCACACGGTGTATTTGGTTACTCTCGGTGCCAAACGAAAGGGAACACTTGTGAGATTTGTCAGGAGGTGTAAATACCTTTCGATGTTTTGTTTTTGAAGAGTAAATAAAGATGGGACACGGCACAGCCAGTGCTGACGCTCTCGTCATTTGCAGGACAATAGCTTGGTCCCAGATTTCCGCATACAGACAAATGACCCCTCATTGGATTCCTCTCGACCTATAGAATGAGGCTATCGAGTTTGTGACCTTATTGACAGCATCCTGGACCAATGGCAGTCGAGAAGACCGCACCATGGGGGGAGGGGGGGTTTCTTGCCAGCACAAATGTAAATCTGTCCGTGGTGTTAGTGTTTATATTATTGTTTATAGTTTTTTATGTGTTGTTTTTATATTTGTTTGATATGTTAAGTGCTTTGGTCAGCTGTGCTGTGGTAAAGCGCTATATAAATAAAGTTGAGTTGAGTTGAGTTCTCTACAAGCCAGTATAATCCAAAGAACCATGATCCAGCCTCTTTATTTTGACATCATATGTATTGTTAATCCAGTTGTTGTACACAGCTGATATTTGGATTGCTTTGTTGAAACTGGACCAAAAAGTCTTCCTCATTTGTCTGAGCTGTCATTGTATCTTCGTGGATATTTTAGTTGCTGCACAGTGTCTGATCCAACCATACAACCTAAAAACAGGGGTCAAGTGAGGTTTTCTTTGCATGCTCACTTAATCCAGATGACGTTGATTGACTGAGCACATTTAACTAATGTTTTCCTTTCAGGTAACAAATTACAGTAAAACCTTGGATTTCGAGTAACCTGGTCTACGAGTGTTTTGCAAGACAGGCAAAATATTTTGATAAATTTTAACTTGATAAACAAGCGAGGTCTTGCAATACGAGTAGTACGTGAGCTGATGGTTCTCGCTCCTCACGCGTATAGTCAACATCTGTACTGCTAATGGCCCCAAAGAAAAAATAAAGGTTGAAAAGAAAGACGGTAAGAAAAAGGAGATAATTACAGTGAAAGTTTAAAAAGTATGTGTAAAATGTGGGAAACGGTTCAAAATTTTATAGGAAAGCACCACCCGAATAAGGCAGTAGCAGTGCCAACGATAAATCTGTAACAACAATGCAATGTCATATTTCCGCCAAAGTGTCATTGGATAGGTTCCTTGTTAAAGTCGCACAAAAAGAAAAAGATTTCAGCGAGCCAACAGATAGCTCCTCTCTGTCTCTCTCATGCTAGTCAGGATTCTTTTCAGAGATAAAGTGCAGGTTAATTTGTTTTTATTTTGTATTACTGTAGTAAGTTTTATATGAATAAGTGGTTGTGGAACGAATCTGAGTTTCCTTTGTTTCTTATGGGGAAATTCGCTTTGATATACGAGTGCTTTGGATTACGAGCACGTTGCCAGAATGAATTAAACTGGCAATCCAAGGTTTTACTGTACAGTCCTAGAAACAAACCCAAGCTTCTGTTGGTTCATTAACAAAAAAAAAATCACGTAATTTTCCATATTAACTGACTTGAAACTGGATTAAACTAAATGTTTTAAATATGTTTTTAAAGTACAAGGATAAGCACAGCTGGAGCCTCTGCCACAAAAACCCTTCATATGTGTGTAAATAGACAAGAGGGAGAAATTCAGCTGGAAGGCAACATGAGCCTCACTTTATTTTCCTTATGTTAAACTGATGCATAGCGATAAATGAAAATTTGAAAACATTTTTCAAATCCACCATTCTGTTTTTTTAAGGGGCATGGATTTTAACAGTCGGCTTTGTGATCCAGCTTCTTGTTTTCAGGGTTGTATGTGGCCTTAGCAAAGCACTCAGCTGCCGCCCGATCACACTCGCACACAGCAGCCTGGCACCTATCGTTGGTAGCTGGAGAGACAGTTGAGTCAGTGAGTGAGTAGCTGCTCAATCACAAAACATGGAGCACACTTAAAACATAAAGCTAATAGTCTAGTTGTGTAATTATTACAGAGCTTTGTAGTGTGGGTAACAAACCTCAGTCCATGACTGTGTCATTCCTGTGTGTATGTTTCAACACAGCTGCTACTTGCTGTAAAGCATACCTACACACTAGGTTACAAATAGTCTTAAATTTATTGTCAATAAGTGACACTCTGCTATTCACTGAATGCTATCAGTGCTGTTCTTTCAACCAGCCAAAAAAACGTTATTTTTATATAAATACTTTGTTTTTTTTACCTGTGCCACTCAGGGAAATACTGTGTTTATAAACACACACTTGTGTTCATTCCCTTCCAAAAAGCAGGATTCAAAATTTTACGAGATGTGTAATTTTGACCAGTATCATCTCAGAACATTTCCAGTTTAGGTCTTAGAATTTCATCAAGGCATAGCTTCACAGTCATTCAGAATAGTACAAGACTGATGTCTATGTATATGAGTGTGTCAAAGCGCCTCTAGTTTATCCCAGTCACAGTCTTACCTGAGCAGGTCACTTGCTGATTTGAACAGGTGTAACCATAAACCAGGATGTAGGGATGTTGCATAAGGGAGTCACATCCAGACACATTTCTGTTTGTGTCATAGCACTTATCATGAACTTGACAGCACCTGAGAATACAGGGGAAACAGTTCATATCCCAGGCTTATTTTAGAAATGG